TAATTTTTTGGGAGGGGGTGAACGAATAAATTTTGCTTAACGATTTATCATGATTACGATAACTTTAAAATATTTACAAGATTGCAGAGCAATAATAATCGGCTTTGCAGTTTCAAAGTTATATTGCAAAATATTGTTATTTAATTTTGAATTTTTTCCAAAAATTCTGGATGTCTAGGGTGAAAATTCTAATCGAAAACCTGTTTGGTGATGTCATATTTCTGCTATAGTAACAAAAGTCTTAATTCAGCATAATTTGGGTTCTGTTATTAAGTTATTTAGGCAAAAAATTTTATTGTGTTTAAGATCCAAATATCTACATTTTTTAAATAAATGAAACAATATTTCATTAAAAAAATATTAATGTTGGTTAGAGTTTTCAGATGCCCATGAGAAACACAAATTCTAGTTAAGCATTTGTGTCATAATAAAATTTTAATTGTACAATCGTTTTCTACAAAAAAATTGAACATTTAAAACGATCGTTCAATGATATTAATTTTTTGTTTTTTTCAAGAGAGTTTATTTTAAAATCTATTTTTTATTCCACCAAACAAATCACTTTAACTTGAAAAGTACGCATAGCATGCTCCTTATTTTAACATAACTGCATGTGGCGAGTTCCTTGGAAATACATATAAACATAAACACTCGAAGTTAAGCCTGTTATTATTAATGAAAGGTCATTTTAATCCGTTGGTTATTTGCTTTAAATATATTTTAGATTATCCGTACTTGTGCGAACAATGTCCCCTTGGAATTTGCGCAGGAGCTACGGGGCTGTTATTTATGCCGCTGGTTTTTAGTTTATGCAAGTTATCACAAGAATCTGCCAAAATAAACTTCTAGTTTTTTAGTTCAGGAGCTTTATGTTAAAGCACCGAATCAAACTTTTATAAATTATTAATTTCAGGATGTTTTCAATACTTCGGTTAAAACTGTACGATTTTTACTTTGAGGATCTTCGGAATTTAACTTGTTTTGCAAAACTAAATTATTTCTTTCTTGCAATTTAATTATCAAATCGTTAAAAATGTTTAAGGCTTGAACGCATGAAATAAGTTCTCTCAAATTCAATAGTTTTATGAAAAAAAAAAAAAAAAATCAGTTTCAGAATTTTCAAAATAGTTTTCACTAGTGTTGAACATGTAGGAATAAATAGAAAATAAGATATTAAACCGCCATGTGCAATAAAGTTTCAATAGCTGGTAATAAAGCCAACCAGCGAAATATTATTACAATCGAGGATATCACGATAGTCAGGTTGTACAAAATCACAAAATTCTTTCAGTTTTGCTTGGTTGTTAACAGTTCAATATCAATTGGCAAAATGTCACATTCTTTTTGTAAACAATTATTGACAAAATGAGTTGTACAAAATTAATTTGAAAAAAATATTGTTAATTCCTACTCTGGACAGCACAATAACTATAACGAAAAATTGGGACAAATCGGGAAAGAATTTTAAGCAGGATGACAAGAAAAAAACTAAACCTTTCCCACTTAAGTCGGGACTGTCGGTCCCCTTATGTTTGACATATTATTCTATCATTATTTTTATATATTAAAAAATAACGAGCAACTACTTACAATGTACAGAAAAATTTTTAGATAAAAATATGTATGTATTAAGAATACGTGATTTATCTTTGTATGTTTAATCACGAGCCGACGGAAATATAATAGATATTCATGTAATCATTGTACCAATAGTTCACCGAGTAAATTTCACGATACGTTGAACTTGAAAAGAAACGGAATTAGATTTGGCTGTGATTCCAAATGTTTAGCTCGCCTCCTAAAAATATGACATTTTGCTTTCAACTTTTCTCAAAATTAAGATAAATTTGACATGTTTACACTTTTAAAATGAATCAATGGTATGAAATTGATACATATCAACTTCAAAACATGAGGAACATGATGTGGCTGACACTAACTCAGCAAAGTTTTCACATTTAGGATTTGGTAAATCAATAATATGTAGGAAATTTAGATTTGACTTTAGGACATCGAAGATTTATCTTATAATATAATTTCTTTCGAAATTGTTCTTACTTTCGAAACTATTTATCAATTTTTACTTCCCGAGCGTAAGCTAAGCAAATATTGTAAAAGGATCCATCCGACGAATGGCTGCTTTAATGCCTTCTCGACGTTTTATGATCCCTATTGTACGAAAAAGTAGGTCTTGCATTTCCGTCTGTCGTCTGTCTGTGTCGATTTTTATTAGACAGATAATCTCTGAAACTACTGGATCGATTATTGTCAAATTCTAAATCTATGTGAGGAATATTGTGTAGGGGATAACCCAGAAATATAGGCCAGCGGGGTAAAATGGGCCATGTTCAACAATCCCATCATTCACTAATAGTTTCAGTCTGCTACATTCTTTAAGTTCGAAGAAGTAATGAAAAATTTGTTCTGGTGCCATTCCTTGTGCTAACTATTAGCTTCAATAAATGAACTTAGGGACTCATGAAACTTCTGTTCTAACTTCGACTAGAAGTGTTTGCCATGCTTAAGAATATTGGTAAGAATTAACTATAATGGTGTATCAATAATCAAGAAATTGTGATCACATTTGCAATCGCTTTAACGAAAACTCTTTGAAATATCTTAAATGCAAAAACACTTTTACCGGTTTCAGGGCTTTGTTATATTATATAAATCTAGTTCTTAAAAAAATGAAACTTCTTTATGTCGCCTTCTACTTAGTGTTTAACAACTGTGTATGTAAGACGTACGCAAAGTAATGTTTAATTGCATGGGGCGTCAATTTTGTCAACGATGCGCAGCTGAGTGTGACAAACTACATGCAAGAGTGCGAAAACCAACATTTTGTATGTGTACCATACAACACACAAAAGGTTTTAGAATCACAAACTTGGGTTCCGCAGTAAATGAGCAAACGTCCAATTAAAAAAATCCACGTTTTGGCGTTGATATTGTAAAAATGCGCCAAAATGCTTACGGATACGAGGAAATTTTTCTAGCACAACTAAGGAAAAATTGTAGCATCCAGTACGATAAAGTTGTGGTGGGACATTTCATACTGTGTTGACCTGTTTATTTTTGGTCTGGCGCGGAGTGTCAGTTCGCAGTTCTCCACATATGACAGTAAACGGAGATTCAATTACATCCGCATTGACAGAATGTTACGCAAATGTTTGGAAGTTGCAAAATATAAATGGTTGTTTTTGAGTCATCCTGCATACGTAATTACAAATATTTGTTTTAATAGCAATGGATACAGCGTGTTGTTAATAATAATAACATTGAAAGTGTCGGGGAAATGGGATGCCCCTCAGTAACTTTCTTTAATCGGGATAATATTAATATCAGCTTCGGGGAAATCTGGTGAACAGTCAAACAATTGGCTATGCTTAGTTTCTAGTGATGTTCCGATAAAGATTTCAACAAAGACACGTATATCAATTTCTACATGTGCAGTGTAATGGTCATAATTAAAAAAGGGGGTGTACCGTTCTTAATTTGATCAATAAAAAAATCACATGTGTACGAGTCAGGCTACGTTTTATGTGACTGAAGAAACAGAAGGTTTAAATAATAAAAAATATAAAAATAATAATAACAAATAAAATAAAGGCAGATTCGTGAAGCACAAGTACTAAGTAAAATGTTAAGGTGACGTCATTACAGTGTTGGTGGGATGATCAGATAAATTTTGGTTAGCATTTTATCATCGACACAATATTCATAATATAAATACAAAACTTGCCAACAAACAGTCGGGGACAGACGACAGACAACTAGACAGACATACGGAAATAGGATAGCTAACTTTTTCCCATTACAATACGTCCTGCCAGCTTGTCAGTGTAATAAGAGTATTAAATTGTGTGCAGGGACGATTTTTTCCTAATAATAATAAACATTAGAACAAAAAATGTACTAGATGAATACACATAAATTAATGTAAAATTTCATGTTATGTAGTCACAGTTTTGCCACCTTGTCAATAAATTCAGATGAAGACATATGCAATGCTATACAGTGCGGAATGTTATCATTCGCAGATACAAGAATAATACGAAATGATAACGTTGTCGCTGGAAGTTTATACACGTCTTTAGAGATTATTAATGTATACATATCTATATACAACTGCAATAATTGTAAAACCAACTACATATTTGTTTTTAAATAGCTAATTTCTCGAATGCACTTTCTTGGAGTTGAGTAGCAAAATATTTTGATACAGTTGAAAAATCCTTTGTTTTGTGCACTAAAATCAGTGCGTCACTATATTTTTAATGCTAGTTTTTTAGTTTTTGAACTCTTTGATTAACTAAAACCAGTGTATTTACTAATTCCTAACGGATTATGTTTAAATCGGCTTCCTTAATAATTAACCATCAATTAAAATTAACTAGAAATGAAAACCAGATCTAAGAATGATACCTGTTCATAGTAAGAAATATCATATCGCAAACGCAAAGTATAATGGAATATCATATCGCAAACAAAAAGTATAATGATTTACAACTAAATAACATTTTTTAAACATAATAAATAAAATGAATTGGGATATTTTTCTCCTTTCAGTATGTTAATAATGCAAGATGAGGTTTTTTATTATACGTTTAGGAGTTTTGGAACGATAAAAATGTGCATAATTCCGTTATGCGTAGGATTTTTGATGGATATAATTATATGATTTTTATGTATCAGGCTTTAGAAACTTGTAAAAAGCCAGATGACCATTTCTTAGAATCAAATTTAGAAAAGGGTAATGAACTGAAAAATAAAGTTTCTAGAATTTTGTACTTTTGTACAACTGGCATTTATTCACAACCCGCTATAGGTAAAGATCTTTTCAAAAACCGACATTTATTTTTTATAGCGGACAAATGAGTTTGTTGGGAACTAATTTCTAAGAATATATGATCACATTTTTTTTTAGTCCAAGTTGTCAAAAATCCTAACAGTGGGGAAACGCGTGATCAGGAATTTAACAGTTAATTCATATATCTAACCTGCTGGTTCATGACTGAAAGTGTAAATCAGTTGCTCCATAAATTTCCAAAACATAAACCGAACTACTCTCTCATGACAACACCCTTTTTTATCCGCAAAGTCAGTAATCGCGATCACATGCAACAGTTTCTCGAATCCAAATTCTCAGCAAAAAACTCGTCCTGCACAGTCAGGAAGCCTCCGAGTAGTTGCAGGATTACTTTTCATCTTTCAAAATATTTATTTGTTTGGGCGCTAGTTCAAATAAATCCCATTATGCTTTTTTCCACTACATTCACGCCATAACAAACACAATCAGCACTTCACATCACCACTAACAGCAGTCAACGTCAATAGATGCGATGTCTTGTTTATACGGTGTTAAATCGCGGCGAATGTACACTGTTACAGCCGTGCTTGCACGCAGGTATGAACTTCAGAAGAACTCTTCGGATGGCTCTTACTTCAGCTCGCGGTGACGTCACCAACAGGTTGTTTCTTTAGAGGTGGCCCTGCTATCATGGGGGCCGACAAGGATGAACTGCTGCAGACAGAGAAGAATCAGCGCAAAGAAGACGATGCGAATTTTTGTATGAGATGTTGGCATTAAGTGGATGGAGGGTTTTCAGATAAATAAACGTAATGAAGTTTACGATGTATAACATGTGTGGCGGTTAAGTGGCTCAGAGTTGCGACAAGTTACTCATCTTGTAATTCCGACATTCATGATTTTCTCTTTCGCTCTTTAATGTTGGACGTTTTTGATAAAAGGTGAAAGTAACATTTATGTAAATATATTGTGTGGTATAATGAGAATGTTTCATCAGAATCAGTTTTATTTATAAGGACAAGAACAGCTTGTCCCTGATACACAGATATGTGGCTGATGAGACAAGGTTAATCCAGAGTGGCTTACCTTATCTGGACTTTAATTTCCGAAACACGAAGGACTACCTATAGATGCTTTGCAAGTACACAGTGGCTGGTGCTATTAAAACTTAATTTGTAAAGCCTTTGGGGCATAGGGACCATTTAAGGCTAATCTTCCCGACAGACGCATACAGAGTAGCGACATAAAATAGTGTCTGCCTTACTAAACTTGTAACAGCACAGCACCAGTTGAAAAGAGTCAGAGAAAGATTATTTTCGATATATTTCTTGGTGTGGGTGGGCATACTGACTTTGCAGTGGGTGCGATACATGCAATAATTATGTCTGCTTATGTGTGACAATAATATGCTTTTTGGTTTTACTTTTCAAAACAAAATTGAATTTTGATGAAGTTTTATGTCTAGTTTGAAAATATATCGCACCTTGTAAATCTAATTGTCCACATGTGTAGATAATTGTGTCATAATGCTTTATGTATTGCCTTCTACATGCATATTCAGTTTTTTTTTTTGTTATATAGACAGAATTTTCTTCGATTTTTCACGTAGGGGTAATTCCGGATGTGTGTTAAAGTATACTTACAATGATTTTCTGAATCGGATAAACGTATAATTAATATTTAAAGGTAGTGTAACACTATTATAAGATACTCTGAAGGATATTTGAGAACTTAAGTGGGACGTTTTTGAAATATTAGAAAACACAAAATTAAACATTTGTCAAAAACATTTATACAGGGTTATGATGCACAAAATTCATAAAAACTTATCAAGCCTTTGATTTATCTTTTGATATATATAAAAAAAATGTAACGTCAAATTTGTAAAAGTTATGAGGTCATCAATGATTTTTTTTAAATGAGATGCTATAATTTTGATCAGATTATTTAATAAAGATTATTTTTCTACATGTGAAAATGTAGGGGTATCGTAACAAAAACAATTCAGGAAATTAATAACAAACGAAATAAACATGATATGAACATGAAACAAAATGAAGTTGTTAGTTTCTTCAATTGGTTTAAATAATACTTTCTGGCTGTATGTAATCCGGTAGTTTGTAACTTGTAAACAAATACTTATGTTTTTTTTTTGTCTATACTTTTGTCAAAGTCGCATAATAATGGCTCGTTTAACCTTAAAAGAACATATAGAATCCATTTTGAACGACCTTCAATTGTTAGAAGCACAGTTAGTAGAATTGTTACAAAATTTAATCAAACAGGAAACGTGAGAGATGTTCCAAGATGTGGAAGACCACAAATAAACGATAACACCAAGCTCTTGTTATCATTGGAAGACAACCCTCATGTAATAAGAAAATGTTAGCCAGTCGTTTGTGGTAATGTTCTAAAAAACTCATCCATGAGCTACCAGAAGATGATCCTGATAGACGATTGGAATGTTGTGAAAGCTTCATAAGACATTGTGACGACAATCCCAATTTTTTAAAAAGTGTCGAATTTTCCGCAATATTTTGCTTAAATGGTTCATTGGGCTCAAGCGGCACACACCCAACGTCCCCAGAAAACGAATGTTTGGGTGGGAATAATAAACAGAACATTGGACCCTATTTTTTTCACGGAAATTTGACAGCAGATCGATATTTAGATCATCTAGGTCTCCAAATCTGACACCCCTTGAATTTTTTTAACCGTGACATTTAACAAGTCGCGTTTACATAAAAAGACCCGATAATTTTGACGACTTGAAAACAGGCATTCGTCATGAAATGACTCGTACAAGACCCCAGAGTATTGAAAATTCCGTCGATCACCTCTACCATCGCCTAGATTTGTCAAATAGTGAATGGGGAACAGTTTGAACAATTTCTATTGCATAAACTTTTACTCAAACGTATTGTTCTGTCTATTTAATATTTATCATTAAAATCAAGTTTATTTTGTTTGTTATTAATTTTCCCAATTTTTTTGTTATGCAACATCAGACTACATTTTTGTATACATAAAAATAAGCTTTATTCAATAATGCAATCAAAATTATACCTTCCTATTTAAAAAATCATTGATGACGTCATAACTTTTACAAATTTGACGAAAATTTTTTTTGACAATGTCAAAAGAGAGTAAAATAAAAAGCTTGACATGTTTTGCTTTTTTTTCGAAAACAAATGCTGCGCTTTTTATGAATTTTGTGCATTATTTTATCACAACTATGTATAGTTTATCACAACTTGTATCACATACGAATATGATAAAGACTATAGCTAGACAGAACCGTTTTGACAAAAAATATGCAGATATGTACATTGAAAGACTGTAGTTATCACAAATACGTCTTACTTTAATACAGAGTATTAAACTACAATAAAAGTAAAAGTACTGTTGATATTTGAAATAATTCAATAATAATATTTATTAATGTAATAAAAACATAATATTTATTTCTTAACAAGGCGGAATCTTTGGATAAAACTCGATTCAATACCTTTATTTGACTCAAAAGGACTCATAATAGTGCAAGGTACTGTATTTACTATTAAAACCACCTATTTAACTCGATATTTGCACTTAATTTCCTTTTTTCATAATCAACTGTCAACGCTGACATTTCCAACTAAAAAATGAGTCTAAACCAAATTGTTTCGCCTACAACGGAGAATGTTCAACTCGAAATCCGACGAACACCTATTACTGCAGTCTCCGAAGAGGTCGATGGAGCAAGTGGCATCACCTCGGGAAACACTACCACAAGGACAATTAACAACGTATTAGTCTCTAATGTTTCTCAGACAAATCAGCCTCAGACCATTAGAAGACGAGAAGAACCGAAAAAGCGTAAAAAATGGTCTCTAGACATGAATTTACATATTATGCGCTTATATTATAAAATTACAAACAATGAAACTGATGTAAGTAATTATCGTACAGCTCTACACGAAGCCTTCAGCCGTGAGTACCCAAATTTTCCAGTTACCATTCAAAATTTAGCAGATCAACGTAGAGCTATAGTTAAAAATAACTACATACCTCAACTTACTCTAGAACAATTAAAAAATGAACTTTCTAAAACCATTAATCCACTTCCTGAAGATATCAACAACACAGTACCAAATACATTACTGACTGACACATCTGTCACCAATTTGTCAAAAACAACATCTCAAAATAAGATCCCAATTATACCACAAAATAGTAATAGTAGTATATTATTTTTCAAAATTTAAGCAAATTTCAAGGTCGACAACTTACCAGTGTAGTTAGCGGAGATCACAACCCTCGCAAAACTGTAGGGTCGCGGACGTTACAGTAAACAACACGTTTTGTTGTACATCTGTGTTGTACTCGTCTATAATATTGTAAACAAAAGAAAATGTAACTAAATAGTATGTTATATAACAGAAAACACAGAATTTACATTGCTTTCACTCTCGTGTTTCAACACTGCTGCTGTACATAGCAAGGATTTTAGAACCGTTTGCATTGAGGGCTTAATGCTGATTGTTGTTGACATTAAATGCCAAATGAAAAAGTGACAAGCTGACAAGTTATTAGAAAAACATTCTGATTCAGAATCAGAAACAGAATCGAGAGAAACTATGATTGGGGGTATGTCTTCATATGGTGCATTACCCCGTTAAACGCTTCCAATCATCCCTGATCAGCCGTTCACAATGTCTAATAATATTTTGCCATTTGTCTGCACCTACTGTAGCAAGAGCCTCCCGCCATAAGGACTGTACAACACCAATAGCGCCACTGTGTTCCTGAATATGTTTATTGTAATATAGTTTACACTGTCCCCCACGCCAGTTCAATTGGAAAATACTGACAGTGGTAGGAATATTGAAAAATAGGTGGATAATTCCTCTTGTTCTCGTCACTGCCATAGCATTTACCCTAGACATATTTATAAGTCTGTTCTTTTAGGATCTCTGCTGGGTGCTTTTAAGTTGTTCTTCTAACTTCTCCACTCCGTAAGAACATAATCTATCACAAATATTGCTATAGAACGCGCTCATAGAAACGATTCAAATTTATGCGGTTCTTGACGTCTCAACTGACAGATCAGTCACTATTGCATTGTCGATAAAGTAAAATAAGGAGGTTTAAAAAAATACTAAACTACACAGTTAAGAGTAAATTTTTGGGTTTTGCGTGTCCTTGACCTTCGCGCCCATTTTGAAAAATAATATATATTAAATACACCAGAGACACGAACTGACAGATTTACTAAAGATTTATTAAACAAAACACCTCAAAATAAGATCACAACCGTAACACAAATTACCAACACATTAACTGACAAATCACTTAACAATTCATCAAGAACAATCCAAAACCAAATTAACATCACAGATAATCTACAAAACACGTACTACAACACAGAAGACACATTAATCAAAACTGTAAACAAAAATTTTAAATTTCACATTAATTTCCAAAATGAAATTGAAGACCAATTTAAATTAACTTTCGAAACATGTTCTAAATTAAAACCAAATGATAGACAATCACTTCCCCGCCAGTGTTATTCTAAAAAGTTTCTGGCAATTGTAGAAATAATGAACTCCTTCATTTTACCAAAATATCTCACAAACTCGATCTCTTTTGAAAAACTTCATACAATTATCTACTGTGCAGCTTTAACTTGTATTCAAATTAACACATGTAAAGATAACATAATAAATACA